TTTATCCACCATAACAAAACTACCAGTTAAAAATGGCATCCCAATACACACAATGAGTTAAAACGTTACGATATGGGACTCACCTGGGCGTCACACCTGGATAGGATTATAGTCTCAGGTGTTCGGTTAATTTACCTGCCCAGGGATGACCAGAATGTAGTGAGTCAACTTGTACTGTCGTGAGGATTGATGGATTGTTTAGTGTTTAATCTATCGGTGCGTGAAGAATTTGTGGAAGTTGAGAGTTAGTGAAGGGGAGAAAAAAAAAATTAGACTAAAGGGTAAAATTCCTTACCTTAATGACTTGAAATTGAGGAAGAAAAAAAATGGAAGTTAAATGTATTGGTGTAAATCAACTCACTAATGGGGTTAGATTTTGATGATAGAAAATAGACTATAAATCAATTCAACTTTATATACAGGTTACATTATTTTGGTTATGATTTAATGCTCCTTATTTTAATGTTCTTTAATAAGTGTGGGTGTGTGTGTGTGTGTGTGTGTGTGTGTGTGTGTGTGTGTGTGTGTGTGTGTTATTATTATTATTATTATTATTGTACTGTTACATAATGATGGTATTTGAGAGCATTAGACAATGCTTATGAGAACAGGAAATAACATAGAGAACAGGTAATAATAATATTGGTATTATTACACGAAGGTAGTAGAACAAAGGAAGTAATGTTATGATAGCAAGATTATAACAAGATAACAGCCGCATAACAGTGTAAGAACACTAGAAAAAGAAGATGACGTCACTATAACAATATGACGTCACTATAACAGGAGTGTATGTCAATATTACGTCACAATACCTATGACGTCACTGTAACAGCTGTGTGACGGCAGGATATCCGCGTTACAACGAACATGTTAGTTACAATGAAAAGTTACGAGGGTGTAATGATGATGTAACAAGTCCCTTAAGCCCCCTAACTCCCCCCTTACCCTCCCTCTCCCCCTCACCTCACTCTCCCTTTATTCCCCTTCCCTCTCCCTTTTCACACTTCCCTCCTCCTCCTCCCCTTCCCTAACCACCCCTCACCCCCCTCACCCCTCACGTGATGAACTACAGTAATGAAAAATTTAAACAAAGCTCCGGGCTGATCAGTAGGACCGTGGGAATTTAAGACAGGTGTGTGTTGCTACCTGTACTTTTGCCTTCCCTCACCCCTCCCCTACCCTACCCTCCCTCCCTCCTTTACCTACTCCCCACCCTACCCTCCTTCCCTCACCCTCCCACCACCCCCTCCCCCTACTCTCTATCTCTCTCTATCACTTTCCTATTTTACATCATTCTCCTCTCGCTCTCTATCTTTCTGTGGACTTTCTTTGATTTATTTCTCTCTCTCTCTCTCTCTCTCTCTCTTTCTTTCTCTTACATTTTCTCCCTCCCTTCCTAATTCGTTTCTACATTCCCTCCATCTCCCTCTCTCACTTTCTCCTCCACTTCTTCCTTTTCTCTACTTCCTCTTTCCTCCCTTCTCCTCTTTCTCCTCTCCCCATCCCCTTCGTTCCCCCCTCTCCCCCTCCACGACAGCTAGTGTTGAGGTCAGGTCGTGGAGGGCAGGAGCCGTAGAGTTAATGGTAGCTCAGGTGAACACGTCGTCGTTAGGTGAACATTCTATCAGGTGAACACTCAGGTGAACATCTGGTCATGAATAAATTAAGATAAATTTAATAAAGGGATAATAAATGTTTAGATAAATAAGGTAATGATGAATGAACCATGAAGTAAACAATTGATTAGAAAATATAGACGAATGAAAAATATAGACGAAATAACACCAGAAACCTTAACCTCGAATCCCACTAAAAAGACAACTGAGCATCGATGTTGACTTGTTTAAGGTCTTCTTCTTTTTCTTCTTCTTCTTCTTCTTATTCTTATTCTTATTCTTATTCTTATTCTTATTCTTATTATTATTATTATTATTATTATTATTAATCACGTTTTCTTTCACCATAATTCAAGTCTCATAATATTTTAAGGGGAATCTTCGTTAAATCCCAAACCTCTCTCTCTCTCTCTCTCTCTCTCTCTCTCTCTCTCTCTCTCTCTCATTTGTCGCGTCGATATACTAGTTAGTACGTTAGGGTGATGTTATCTTTGTAAAATGAGTCATTCTCACCCTTAGAGCATAGTTTGTTGTAGCACTGTATTGTCTTATTATTTTTATTTTTATTATTATTATTATGTTCGTTTTGTTATTCTAAATTTCTCTTTGTTTTACATGTAACATGAAATCATTGTCTTTTTATCCATAGAGTTTATAAGCCATAATGGTGGTTGTTGTTTGTTAGTAGTTGTGGTTGTTTAATGTGGGTAATTGTTGTTGGTTATGTTTTTATTGTAGTTGTTGTTGTTATTTATTAACACCTGCATTATATCTGATGTCTTTTAGATTTTGATGATGATAATAATAATAAGAATAATGCACATGGAACTATTATTATTATTATTTTTATTATTATTATTATTATTATTATTATTATTATT